ATATGCTCAATTAATATTTGACAAAGGAGGCAAGAAAGCAAGACAGTTTCTTCAATAAATGGTGCTGGGAATTTGGTCATATACATACAAAAAAAAATGAAACTAGATCACCAACTTACACCATACACAAAAACAAACTCAAAATGGCTAAAGGACTTAAAGGTAAGACGGGAAACCATAAAAATCCTACAAGACTCAATAGGCAGTAAAATAGCAGACATATGTCGTAGCAATATCTTTACAGACACAGCTCCTAGGGCAATGAAGACTAAAGAAAATAAACAAATGGGACTACATCAAAATAAAAAGCTTCTGCACAACAAAAGAAACCATCAACAAAACAACAAGAAAGCCCACTGCATGGGAGAACATATTTGCCAATGATATTTCAGATAACTGTTTAATCTCCAAAATTTACACAGAACTCATACAACTTAACAAAAGGAAGATAAACGATCCAATCAAAAAATGGGCAAAGGACCTAAATAGACACTTTTAAAAAGAGGACATACAGAAGGCCCAGAGACATAAGAAAACATTCTCAAAGTCACTAGTCATCCAAGAGAGGCATAACAAAATGACAATGCGGTACCATCTCACCCCTGTCAGAATGGCTGTCATCAACAAATCAACAAACGACAAGTCCTGGCAAGGATGTGGAGAAAAAGGAACCCTCATGCACTGCTGGTGGTAATGCAGACTGGTGCATTCACTGTGGAAGACAGTATGGAGTTTCCCCAAAACGTTAAAAATGGAACTCACATTTGACCCAGTAATCCCACTTCTAGGAATATATCCCAAGAAACCAGAAACACGAATCAGAAAGGATATATGCACCCCTATGTTCATAACAGCACAATTTACAATAGCTAATAATTGGAAACAGCCTAAGTGCCCATCAGCAGATGAGTGGATTAAAAAACAGTGGTACATCTATACAATGGAATACTATGCCGATATAAAAAAGGAGCTTTTACCATTTGCAACAGCATGGGTGGACTGGAGAGCATTATGCTGAGGAAAATAAGCCAATCAGAGAAAGATAAATATCACAGGATCTCAGTAATATGTGGGATATAATGATCAATATAATTTGATGAACAAGAATCGATCCAGAGACAAAAGGCAGGGGAGGGGGATTTAGAGAGCAACCAAAGGACTTGTTTGCATGCATATTAGCATAAACCAATGGACAGACACTGGGGTGGTGGGGGCTTGCCCGGGTGGGAATGGCTGGGGGTGGGAATCGATTGGGGGAAAAGGAGACATAAGTAAAACTTTAGACAATAAAAAAATTATAAAAAAAGACATATATGAAAAAAAGGAAGAATAGCTAGCTAGCTGTTGATAACAACTGAAAAAAATCAAAGAATAAAAACACAACAACAAACCCTGGCCAGTATATTCAGTGGTTAGAGTGTTGGCCTGAGTACCTAAGGGCCATGGGTTCAATTCCCAGCCAAGGGCACCCATGTACCTGGGTTGCAGGTTTGATGGCCAGTGGGGGGCGTGCAGGAGGCAGCCAATCGATGTTTGTCTCTCATCAATGTTCCTATTTCTCTCTCCTTCTCCCTTCCTCTCTCTCTAAAAATAAATTTTAAAAAACTCACCACAAAACAAAATAAAAAGAAGCCCAAGAAAATGTGCCGTACTATCTTGACTATGGTTACGGTCCCATAGATATGATAAAACACTCAAATTGTACATTTTAAACATGTACAGTTTATTGAATGTTAACTATACTGAAATAAAACTGTTAAAATGTTTTTTAAACAAATAAATATATGTTTTTCCAAACTCATCCCTTTTTTCAGTAAGTATGAATGTATAATTTTGACAATAAAAATTTATGGAACAATGCCAAATTTTTACCTTGTCACGTGTATTGAGGTCATTAAGAGAAAGACATGGCTCTGATGATATATACACTGAAGTATTTACAGATAAAATGTGATGCCTGCAATATACTCTCAAACAGTTCAGACAGAGAAAAAGGGAGAGGAAGGAGGTGAGAGGAAGAGGAAGAGGAGGAGGAAAGGGGAATGAGTGGGGGAGGAGGAGAGGAAAAAAGGGAAGAAGGGAGGGAGCAGAATGATAGAAAATGATAAAGAATGATATAGAAATAGAGAATGACATAGAGAATGATAAAGCAAACATGGCAATGTGTTCATTGGTAAATCCTGATAAACGGTATATGCGAGTTTGTTGTAATATTCTCACACATTTCCTTTAAGTGTAGAATTAGATCAAGATTTCAAAAGTTTAAAAAAACACAAGCATAATGTCAGCAATAATTCCATCACCGAATAGTATAATCACACTGCTCCATGTATTTAATGAAAGAAAAAGTTTTATATTGTCAAAATCAGTGGGATGAGGAGCCAGTATGTAATTCTGTTTTTTGTTAGCAGAAGGATAAAAAACATGAAACACTTTAGAGCAGAAAATAAGTTCATCTGTAATTGAATGAATGATTTCACAGAATGATTTTTAAAAAGAGACACGTGTTTGTAGATTTAAAAAATTCCTCATGAGCAAAAAGAAATAAGTGAAATTAAGAAAAACTGAATGATAAATCACTACATATAACAACCTCTGAAATTCTTCTAAAGTGATAGTTAAAAATTTAGAGTCACAAATTATTTTAGAAAAGTGAAAATTACTGAGCTAACGGTCCAAATAAATAAATAGAAAAAAGCAAACAGAAAAGAAAAATGATAAAAGCAAAAATTACTAAAATAGAAAAACAAATTATTCAATGGTGAGAGCTGATGAAATCAAAAGCAGGAAATGTATTAGAAATTGATTATCTTAATTTATCACACAGTCCCGCTATCATATTAGTGGAGAAATAACCCATATGATCATGGCAATAAATACAAAGTAGCTGGAGAAAAACTCCATAGTCATTCATAATAAAAACTTTCAGCAATTTAAGAATAGAAAAGAACTTTCTTAAGCTGAAAGGAAAATCTACTAAAAATAATGAAACATTTGCAGAATTCCCTTGTAAATTCAGTAGGAAGACAAGGAAATTCTCTATCACTTTTACTATATTTTGTTGTACTGAAGATCCTAGCTAGTACAGTAAAACCACCTTAAAAATTGCTAAAAATATTGGAAAAGCTAAAAAAATTGGAAAGGAAGAAACTGCCATTATTCCCAATATAATTAATAACAGAATCCACAAATTATTAGAATAAATAGAATTCAGAAAAGTTGCAGCATATTAAATCAGTATGTAAATATATGTAAATATATCAATCCTATTCCCATTTACCAGAAATAATCAGCTAAAGTGGTTTAAAAGATACATTTCACAGTAACAATCAGAAACGATAAGGTAATTAGGAGTTAATCTAACAAAACAGCTTATAGATTACATTATTATGTGGTATATATTGTTTCATATAGTGTAGAAAGTGGTTTCAATGTTATCATTTGGTGATAACTTTTTGTTTTTTGTTTGGCTAGTCATTTGTAATGTCATGATCAAGTGTAGCGTTATGATAAATTTATTTTTATTCCCCCTTTAATGAGTTCTTGGCAAAGACATTACCTTAAAAAAATCACCACTTTCCATTCCAGTGCAGAAGAACAGAAAAATCAGGGTAGCATTGTCAACAACCCTCATTGTCGTCATTGGATAAACTATTTTATGAACGCAGCATGGAAATGGAGTCCTACTGCAATCCCTCCAAAACTGAAAAATAGTAAAATAAGGTTAAATCATTTTTTCTGTTGCTGTTTATCTTTCCCCTGGCCTCCTCAAGTTCTTATGCTCCACCATGCCCACATTTCCATTATCTAGTCCTGTAAAACAGTTACATAGATAGTATTAGAAAAGGTTCGTTGCATAGCAATAATAATCATTATCAATATTAATAATAAGCATAATAATAAGCATAGACTATGGAAGCCCTTTAGAACAGTATTTGGCACATAAAGATGTTCAGTAAATATTTACTATTATGATAATTTTCAAGGATTTGAGTCACTGGAAGGAATTATGTAGCTCTGGCACTTCTTGCCGTATCTAAGCACTGCTCTCTCTCTGCTCTCCCACCCACTGCCACTACTGGTTTGGACACGGAGCTAAAGTTGAGGGAAGTGAGGCTGTAAGGAATGGCCAGGCGATGCTTTCAGGTAAAATAGAGCTCATTCCTTTTCTATGGACTACCACCAAACCCTAAATCCAGAGCCCTCTTAGTTGCTACTGTTTTCTTATCATTCATTGACTTATTTATTCAAATATCTGTTTCACTCCTACTATGTACCAGGCACTATTCCTTGGTCACACATCCCTTCCAGCTGCCAGCACAATGCCTAGTCCATTGTAAGGGCTTCATAGAGAGGTTTATTGCAGAAGTGAAGAAAGGATGGCCTGTGGAACTGTGAGGCTCAGATCAGATTTGGTTTTCGTTTTTGCTTTCTATAAGCTGATGTAAATAGAAGATGGTTTCTCTGATGTTAAAAACTGGGCTCCTAAAATACATCACTTGCTTGAAAATCTTCCATGGTGGCCAATGCTCATGGCTTTAACTGCATATTCAAGTTTAGTATAACATTCAAGGCCCTACAACATTGTATCTCGCCTCCTAAGGTCTCACAAGTTTCAGAGTTCAAGCCAAGCTCTCCCCAGAACAAACCTGTCTTGGGGTTTTTGTTCTAGAAACAAAAGTCCTGAAAAACAGTCTCTCCACCTCCGCAGGGCAGATGTCACTCGCTCTTTAAGACTCACCCACATTTCCCTTTTCCTCCCTGAAAGTTCATGATTACTATCAGGTAGAACGAGTTGGTCCATCCTAGGATGCTTCCGGAATACACTGAACAAGCAAACATTATGGCACTTGGGTTTGACTGACCATATTGTCACTGCTTTTACTTATTAAGTTCCCCCACCATACACAGGTAAACACACACTTATGTAGCTCACCTTATAAACCCCTCTATTAGAACAGAGCTAGGCATAACAATTAGGCCTTGCATACATTGTTGTTATTAATCTGGAGCTAAGCATTTTCAAATGGAAAAGTTTCAAATGTACACAAAAGTAGTGAGAACATTATAATGAATCACCATAATGCATCGCCTAGCTTTAACAATTATCAACTGACGAACCTTTAGTTCGTACCCCCCACCTGGACCCCACTAAATTACTTTTGAGTATATAAAAACATTCAAGTCTATTTCTTAAAAAATATAACCCACAATTATCACAACGGCTATAGGGTGTCCCCCCCTTCCAAATGTATACACACACTTTGAACAATTATAAAGGCAGTATTTATGAAAATACATTTCCTTTTCAAAACTGAGCTATCAGCTGTTGAAGTATGTATACATTTGGGGGGGGGGACCTGTATATTAAAAATAATTACTGAATGTCATTAAACATCCAAAATTTCATCCAAGCATATTTTATGAAAGAGCTATTTAACGTCTGCCTATGCTTTCTTCAATTTTTAAATCATGGAGAGAAAGGAGGGCAACCCTCATTGTCGTCATTGGATAAACTATTTTATGAACGCAGCATGGAAATGGAGTCCTACTGCAATCCCTCCAAAACTGGCTTAGGGTGGGAGAAGTCTATTCTACGACTTCTCCGGAGGAAGAGGATGCGACTTCAGGCCGGGAGATGCCGGAGGAGGTGCGGAGGGGAGAGGGGTACCTCTGTTTGGGGTCCCTTCTGGATAATCCCACCGTGGAGCTAAGAGGCAGCGCTTTCTCGGAGGCTTGCTTTCCCGCGTGTTGGCAGATGGGAGCGTGGATCTCCCGGAGGGACAAGGTTGGTCCCCCATAAGGATTCTAGGACCTGGGCGTCAGCTCTCTCCGGTGGGCCCCAGCCAGGCGGAGACCTGAGATGGCGGCGGGTCCCCTCCCCTCCAGACCAAGAGCTTCCTCCGGGTTCCACTCCTACCGTATTTCCTGTATCCCGAGACGTATATCCCCTCTCCGCCTCCACCGGGCTCCCTACCCTACCCCATTTTAACATCTCTACGAGGATGGGTCTTTGAAAAAGATACGTTTATGTAATACAATGTTTTCCATCCTCTCTCCCCCTTAATGTAGCGGATGCTATGGACAGTCGGATGGAATCTATGCAATTTTATGATGAGAAGAAATTGAGGTTCACTCCTAAATCGTAAACTCTACATCGATTATTGACCGGCGCGAAGTGGGAGGGGCGGGTTGGGCGAACAAAGAAATTATTGAAGAGCTAAGGGCTTTAGGATGGAGTTGCAGACGAGACTCTTTCAAAAATGATATAAACCTGTGATAGTTTACGAAAGTGCAAAATAGGACACGGGAACTGACCTTGGAAATTGATGTGGGAAATAAATTCACCGTATGTCATAGAATCTAACATCACTTTTTTGTTCATATTTTAGCAAATTAGAAACCTCAGAAGGCTTACCTTTCAAAAAATGTTTCAGCATCTAGGACAGTGGTTCTCAACCTTCCTAATGCCGCGACCCTTTAATACAGTTCCTCATGTTGTGGTGACCCCCAACCATAAAATTATTTTTGTTGCTATCATAACTGTAATTTTGCTACTGTTATGAATCGTAATGTAAATATCTGATATGCAGGATGTATTTTCATTGTTACAAATTGAACATAATGAAAGCATAGTGATTAATCACAAAAACAATATGCAGTTATATATTCAATATGTGTTTTCCGATGGTCTTAGGCGACCCCTGTGAAAGGGTCCTTCGACCCACAGGTTGCGGCCCACAGGTTGAGAACCGCTGATCTAGGACATCTTGGACAATTGATGGCATGCCATACTTTAATTGGCAATGTTTATTTTTCCCCCCCTACAGTTGTGGAAAATAATGATTCATCTTATTATCGCAAGTTTTATATTCTATGATATACGGTAGCAACCAGAAGGGGGTGCAAATTGGCATAGAAGACGAGGCTACTAGACATTACTTTGACATTCACACCCATCCCCCTTTGGCTACGGGCGAACTGGACCACACATTTACAGCACTGTCCTCATTTTAAAAAAAGGAAATAGTTCAATCCTTAATATCAAAATATAACGGCACTTTAAACATTCTGCTAAAACCAAACTTTACCATATTTAAGTAGTTGATTAAACACTTGGAGCGTTACTTTCCAGGAGATAATGCTTTTTTTTCTTGCAGAACTAGTGCCATCATCAGATATAATACAATTAAAGCGCTATTAACCATGATTGCCTCTCCCGTCTCCACCGTCACTGCCTTCCTCCAAATACCAGCACAGCCTTTAATGCAAATTAGATGCTCGGGAAATGTTGGGAACATAAATGACCCGACAGTTTTCTACCAGTAGGTTAAGAGAAATATGTGAAGGGGAATCAAGAGAAAAAGTTCTAGAGCTAGAGGAGGGGTTGGGACTAGACGTATAGATGTGGGGATCAGTAACATGGATGTGGTAGTTGAAATCGTGAGAAGGGATGATATCCCCAAGAGAAAATATAGAGAAAAGAGAAGTGAGCTAAGACAGAATAGTGAGTAATTAGAGACAGAAGAAGAGAAGGCTGCTTGCTATAAAGGCTAAGAGAAATGGCCAAAGTCAGAGGAAAGAACTCTAACCCAGGGTTTCTCACACTTGACACTATTGATATTTGAGGACAGATCGTTCTTGGAGAGGTGGAGAGAGGCTGTCCTGCGCATTGTAGGATGTTTAACAGTATCCCAACCCAGGCCAGTAGCACCCCACTTCCCCTTTCCTAGTGTTTTATTTATCTCAGTGAATGTCATGCCTTTGACCCAGTAGAAGCCAAACTTTGAGTCTTTTTTTTTATATATTGAAGAATGTGTTATTATTTCCCAAAGTAAGTGAAGTGACATTTTTACAATCTTTTACATGGGTCTCCAAATCTTCGAGACTAAAGACTTTAAGAGTAAAAGTGGAAATGAAGTTGTTTTATAGCTATAGTTTTCATAAATTAAGAGAAATATGTGCCCATTTTAGTGAAATTACAGGAATTTACAATTATATAAAATCCAGCTGGCTTTGGTTTATTATAAACATTTGACTTGAGGTGAAAACAACCTCAACTTAGAGAGGCTGCCATCAACCTGCCCTCTTTCTGTTTCAATGGGATTTATTTCTTTTTAGTTGTGGTAAAATACATATAACAAAACGTAACGCCTTAACCGTTTTAAGTATACAGATTAGTAGTGTTAAGTATATTCTCAATGTTGTACAATCTCCAGAAAATTTTCACACACATTAAACATAGCTTTCCATTTTTCACTCTCCCCAGCACTTTGCAACTACCATTATACTCCCAACTGGATTTTTGCTCATTTATTTTGTCATAGCAAGATGGAAAAGGAAGGCCTTTTACTTTTAGGTTTCAAAATAATTTTCCCCATCATGTTTTCCATGTTAAGCTTTTTCTCCCCCGCTCCCC